CAACATGCTGCTAATTTTCCCTATGCATCCGGTTACCTCCGCTTGGCCACTGGCCACTTTGTATCACAAATTACAGCGGCAGCAATTTATCCTAAAATTCTCTTTTCTGGCTGGAAAACTTGTACACAATGACAAAATACTAACACGCAATGAGCTATTTTGGTGAATGCTGCAAATAGAAAAATATCTCACTGAATATACCAGACTGCAGATATCTTAGTTCAGACCACAGTTGGGCAAATGGCATTACGATTTGCAGTCAACCCCCAAGGCCCGACATTTTACACTATCATGAACCCGTTGTTATTTGCATTCAAGAGAAATCAGGCAGGAGATAATTGCGACGCACACAAGGGTGAAAATAACGCCCGATTGCGATACTCGAGGACCGGATTTATGTGCAGCCATTCTAAATCTGCCTGAGGCATTAGTCTAATTAAATATTTGTAAAACGCGAGGGTCTAAGGTGAAGGAAAGTAAAGGTCGCTCCAGTCTTTCACCATTTTCGCACTGTTCAAGGAAATATTGACATCAACAAACAGTGTCCTCTACAGCTGCAGCAGTGGTGTGAAATTCTTCTCAAGAAATGGTTTTATATGATCCACGTGTCGCAATTCTGCTAGAGTAAACAATCAGAACAACGTTAATTACAAGAAATGTAGGATTAGCAATTGGTCATGAGAAAGTACGGCATCTTCACGTAAAACAAGCTGAAAAAAATAACACCAAAACTAGATTCTGCTTGGTTTTAGTACACCGCAGAGTGGTAAACACACTCGATCTATAAAAAAAACAACACCTTGATCAGAACTAAGGCGAGTTTGAAGCAAATAAATTCAGCATTCAACATTGAAGTCTTGCGCTAAATTCTTCAATTTTGGTGGTGCCATCCGTAGTTCCTCTCGGGTTGTCGACTAAAACACCCGCAACGTCACTTCGGCGTGAAAATCACTCGCTCGTATAATCGGACACCTGATAAGGCTAGACTACTGTTAAATGCCACGTGCTGACCTGTACTCAGGTGCAAATGGCGCATCTATTGAAGCGCATAGGCTGCGTAACTGAAGTGGAAGCTCACTGTGGTGTGAATTCAGAGCATGAAAAGCTGCCAAGTCGGTAGTGCAACAGACTACTGAGTTAAAGTAGACCGACAAAGGATCGTGGCCCTCATGCAGTGCTACGGCGTAGTGCGACCAGTTTTAGTCGCTCACGGGGGCTGGGAGCAGGGGCTTGCGGATTCAACGCGCGCAACGCCACTGACTTCAATCAAGCACACGGGTGTGATAAATCGCATTTCATCTGGTGTCACATTCCGACTGTCGTTTTTCGTTATCTGGCTTAAAGGTGATGAAAATGGACTAGCTTGCATGGTGAAACTAATGGAATTTCTTGAGCAAACTAGGACTTGTGGATCTTGCGCAAAACAGACATTGCTGCCACGAAGGAAACGTTTGAGCGCCTCTCATGCACTCATTCAATGCATCACCTCATACCTCACTTAGCTAAAGTGGCCGATTGATAGTTTTGGGTGATTGAACACAGGGACGTGGATTTCAGACCCCAACGGACTTGAGTCAATTTGGCCAACCGCCCAACTGCAGACTGGTGGTGGTGCTAAGTTTCAAAGGGGTGAGGAAAATGCCATTGCAGAGGGAGCCCTGCATAATCAGCGAAACCTCCGACTTAGTGAGTCGTCGCGGTCTTGCTCTAGTGGTGATAGGTGTGAGGCTGAACTGTCGGAGTTCAGGTTTTGTCACGGTATTGAAAAATTAGCGAGAAAATAAGCTTGGCCTGGTAGCGGATAATCGTGTGTTGGTTGGTTTTACAGGCGCGATGTAGGTGAGTGGGAGTTTCATGTTCGAAGCCAATATAGGCCGAAAAGTTGTGTCCTACAAGGTTACGCGGCAAATCATCTCCACACATCAGAATAACTCGGTTTGCGCTTACGGTGCATTGAAATCGCCGTGCAAACGTTTTTCTGACATCAGTCATTTTTCGTTTTATTTAATTTATGTGTACCAAGGCCACAAAAACAGTTTCCAAATGGGTCCCACGTACACAAAATGCAATCCTAGCTGTACTGACATGCCTTTTCTTGACTCCAAACATACCAATCCACTTACTTGGCAAGCGTCTGGTTAATTGATCAAAGTACACGTTTGGATGGAGAGAGGGGATCACAACAAAGGGAAAAAACAACCCGGGCCTCTTTTCTGGCTAGGGGAATTGTGTACACTACGACAAAATCCTAACACGCGATGAGCCATTTTGGTGAATGCTGGATCCGTCACAGTCACCTCACTATATAAACTTATCGCTCTGACCGGCCATTGAACACGAAACAAGCAGCATCACAGGAGCCATGCATGCCTCTAGCTAACTCGTATTTAACGCTGTGCCAACACACTCGACAAATTCTTACTCCACGCTCCCCCAATTCACACAGTTTACAAAAATGAGGTTGCAAGGGGTCGTCAAGTGTGGCATTTAAATTTTCAACAATACTTTTGCAGTTGGCGTGCTCGCCTACAGGCATTAGCCTCGTATTTCTAATTTGCCACATGACGAAAGATGGTAAGACATCTCAGAGGCAGTACTGGGATCGTTCTGAATTAACAAAATACTAATTTTGTGGGTTATTCTGTGCTCAAGCAGCATCCACTTACGTAAATAGCTTCTGTTTATTTCTTTAACAGCTATTCAGCTTCATGCGTTTGCCTGGAATAAACCGAAGTCGTTCAGATAACAGTGCCAACCTCCATCCTGTTATGGGTTTTTTGAAACCAAAAAATGGTGAAATGTTAACCAGCCGCATTGTGTGGACAAGGTGATTTTGCGGCATCTATTGTGGACGACAGAGAAACCAATGCATCTGGCGATTGCTGAAAAGAACACAGGCCTCTTCCTCTTCGCTACTTCGGCGCACTTGTAGCGAATAGGGATGGATCTCGATAGATGCCGAGCTTGAAAGTTACGAGAAACAGACCTGACACAATGTCGAAAACATACCACTTACATCACTTTTCAATAACTTCTCGGGCAAACTCAACATCGCCTCCCGTGATATTTTATCTCACATTATCCATCTCTCATCTTCAACAGCCAGTTTTTGCAGACGCCAATTCTGTAGCACTGTGGTGGCATTTCGGGTATGAATGGCCGCTCTCCCAAGGGTTGTGAGAACTCACGCATAAGGTTACCTAAGGTAACTCCATTCAATATGGCACCAATGTTTTCCGTAATAATGAGTGATCAAGTCAGCAGATCTCCGCAATTAATTAACGACATTTAAATCGACATCTATGCGTTTATCCATCGTGAGCCAAATCCCAATGTCTGATTCACCTTTCGCACAGTTGCACTGGACACTGCAAATACAGCTACGCGATCCAATAGTGTTTACGCGTTGATAAAAAAGACTACATACAGTAAGTGTAATCTTGGTCGTCAGAGTAACCTGATTCCTACCCACCTTGAGTCGCGCTGACACCCAGACAATAGTGGTGTCTACCGTGACAGACAAAACGTGGTGTCTTCGCGGGCATCAAAGTTCAACAGTTCAGCAAAAGTGCTGAGGCCAAGCAACTTAGCACGTGTGATCAGTGACAGGCGCCTTCCAGTGTAATGGCGCGATGGGATTCACTGAAATTAAACTTCGCGTGCATATCAATCGGTCTGACAAATTGGAAAACAGGCCACACACTAACGGTAAAGTGAATCAGGTGCCTAAGGTAAACAGACGAGAAAGCATGCAGTTTAGGCATGATAATTTGGGCATTTTTTGTTTCCCGTGTAGCTTTCTTTGTAGGCTACCTCGCAGCAAGTGACGTGGTTGATCATTCCTGTTAATTGCAAGAGAGCATAGGCGTCGCAATGCTCTGATTGCTCTGATCGGCCATTGTTTTGTGACACCAAAGTCACAACCCAACGCTACATTAACTGACAATTATCGCTTTGATGTCTTGAAAGGTGCGTTAAAAGACATTCTTGCTGGCGCAAGTAGGCCCAATCGAAATTATCTGACGCCTGTCAATAGAAATGACTGTTTCGAAAATTCTGGGATGATGCCTCAAGATTCTGTGTCGCTTGGTTTAACGTGATTAAACGCATTACCAGCAATGTCAGAAGCAACTTCTGGGCACATTTGTGCATTACACTAAGCCAAAATTGTGACATGTTACAAGGCCTTCCAGTTCCATTGAGTTTAGCTTTGGAGAGGCGCTAACCTTCTCACCTGTCTGCCTTATGTGCTTCCTTCGACTGGTTTCCGCAGCATATCCCCAATGTGACAATAGAGGCCTTCCCATGTCAAGCCGTAAGCCGCCATTCAAAGCGTCTTAAAAGTAACAGCTGGTTTTCAAATTCGAAACCAGACACGCACAACTCTTCGGATGCGCGGTACTGGTACGACACAGTGCAGAACGGACAAGACATAATAACTGAAGTTATTTAACATTCGTACTTTAACATAATCCAGACACCTCTTCGTTCATACAATAAGTTGGTTTCCTGAAATTAGTAGGCAGCAGCAAAAGAACTTCAACATAGTCCGTCACCTAGAGAATCAGCACCTGTCTAAGTTTTAGACTAACTTGTGTGGTTCAGTAGATAGTAAGCTTGATCACAACGCCAGTGCCAAAGCCACATGATGCTCCCGCCTTAACTGACGCCAGCGCATCCTATGTCTTCTCTACAAATGTTCGACATTTGCTAGTTTCGATGCTTACCACACCGACTTGCCGGGATCTCACACCGTAAAACGAAACATTCGTGTCATAAGCACTCTAATAAAAGGAGAACTCATTCATCTCCAAATGTTTCTACGCACTTTCCCTCTCCTCAATTACCTCGTCACCTTCCATGGTGAAACAACGAGACACTCTAGTGAAAACTTCGGTTGTTAACACAACATCGCATTTGAAAAGGAAAAACAGACGAGGCACGATTCCACAAATGTATTTCTTGGTCCTGCAGGGATGCAGACAAGAAGAGATGCCCGATTACAGCTTTCGTTCCTCACTGGGAATTCTGCTGCGCTGTCTCCAGGTTGTGAATGCCTTTACAAGGACGGCACTGGGGACCGCTCCCATGAGTGGGACGAAGAAGAAGCTAATCAGATTTGCAACTTTCACGGTCGGAGAAAGAAGGGCGTATTGAATGCACGAGAATGCCCCTGCCAGCGACCCACTGATGCCATACAGCGTCCCAAACTGCTCAATCGGAAACGCAGTCATAATGAAGGCACTGATCGTGCTGAACAGGAAGCCACGCATCACCACAAGGAAGAAGAAATTTACATAGTAAAACATCGGCGAAGCAATAAACACCAGTGCGCTCAGACACGTGGCTGCCACAGTCACCACTACCATGGCTGCTGCATGAGGGCAAAGACGGAGCCAGAAGACCGATGATTTAGCGCCGAGCGCCAAACACTCTGCCACTCGCGAATGCATCCTCGCCCGGAGGAAATCTATGCTGGAGCCGCACGTCACTCCCGCGAGGATCCCACCAGCCAGAGCAAAGGAGAGAGTCTGACTCAGGTGCATCACGGTCTCCGGTTGACCGGGAAAATGATCCTCCATTAGAATTGAAAACTGAGTCAAGAAAAATGTAAACCGAACCATCGCGAAGGAGAAAAAGCAAGTGATGAGAATGAATGGCAGTGATCGGAGAGAAGTTAACACTGTGGGGTAGAATTCATGGAGCATCTTAGATATCTGGCCTTCGTGTGCCAGTGACGTCTCGACTGAAGCCTCTTCATCCGCCTTCTCCGTGTCTCCCATCTAAACACCAAATAACAAGTGTGGCATCTAAGAAATTGCAAAACCGGCGCAGATGGCTAAACATTTACATGGAAATCACTAAGTGGCTCTAGCACTCATTTACAATTGCTTCGTTTGCTTGCACTGTGCATGCTCTACAAGATCAAACTGGAATTCGCCATAGTTTACACTAAATGTGACGTTAGAGTGTAAATTTGCAGAAATTCAAAAATTACCACTTTTGCGTGGGTTGAATAAAGCGCCAAAATTACGCCCCCATTTGTAAGGTGATGGTGATTATCTGGTGGGAAAGACATGGTGGTGCATGTTGGGTGGGGGGGGGCTGCGGTCATGCGTGTGACATCGAGCGCTAGAGGTGTGTCGCCTCGAGCACATTTGTCTCTTTTCAACACTGATCAGTAAATATATGTAAGGTGGCGTTTTTCCAATTCAACCGGCAAACACCTCAGCGATTTCTAACCATTAACGACAACAACGAAGCTAGTCGCAGCAGTTGCACATTCAATTTATTCCGGTGAAACCCAAGATCCCTGCTCTCAAATCACGTTAGACCTCCAACCAATTGTTTCGCAAACCGAGCATATTTCGTCTGTTGCATGTCATTTGACTAATTTGTGACTGGCAGGTTTTAGCGCAGGCACTACTGAGACATCGCTGGAACCCGTCGGCTGGAACGAAATACCAGAGTGGCCAAATAAACAGAATCCTTCACAGGGTTGGAAATTGAAATCAATTTTTGAATTACTTTGCGAAACTCACTACGACCGCCTCCGATTTCAAAAGCAAACAGTGCCCGGTGTTTCACAAGAGCCCGTTCCTTCACGCTGGCCTGAAGAATGCATCACACCCAACTTTATCACCGGCATTTTCCGAGTACGGAATGTGAACTGAATGGCAACAATAAAGTTACATCGTCGAATTGCGACATGCACTACCAAGTGACGCAACCGACGATGTTTTCATGAGCCCCGAACAAACACGCACGACCTCCACCACCTAACAATCGAGACTCAGCTAGACGCAAATTCGGGCTTTTTAAAGTATCCCGGCCACTACACAGAAAGTCCCCTCCACATTTCCAACATGAAACTTCTGCAGAAACAACGTTTCGACTGAAATAAAAGCATTTACGAAAAGCCTAATTTCATCCAGGGTGCAAAGTCAACGCACAATGGTCCAGCGGCCACAGGTTCTGTGCGGTCGTCACAGAGCATGCATCGTAGATAAAATTCGATAGTACAGCAGGAATGCCTAGTTAACGTACCATTATTACTTCCACTGACTTGTCCTCTGGAGCACTGGAGTTGATTGCAGCCCGGAATACCGACATGTCGGACATCCGATAAGTTGTCACAAACAGACTGCTAAATAAATTCATCGCCAATCCCACTCCTGCCAAGAGGAAGAAGGTCAAATTATAGGAGTAGCCAGCACCGTAAGCTACCGCGAAAACGGCAAACACCGAAGACGCAGCGTCATAAGAACCAGTTATGAGCGCGAGAACCAACGTAGAGGTCTTGTTGAAAAGTTTGGAAATTGAAAAATTGCAGATGAGACCTGCCATTCCACCCACACAAACGCAGATACCCGCGGGAAATATTACCCAAGAATTCGCACTATTGGCAATGCCGAAAAGGACAGCTCCAATCGAGAACAAAATTGAAGCACTTAGCTTCACAATCCGAAGCCCAACGTGGTCCACAAGAAAGCCGACAATAAAAAGCAAAACCATTTGCACAACCATGTAGGTGGTGAACGCGTAGCCATACATTGTAACCTGTTCGTTACAGCCTATGCTTCCTGCTGTTATGTTCTGACAAAGATGGCTGTAAATGCTTTCTTTTTGGAGAACTGGGATGAGAGCATTGAAGCCAAAAATGATGCCACCAAAGAAGAGCATTTCGATTGAGCCAAAAACGATGCCAATGACCTGCCGCAATCTCAGAGGCAGGACTCCATCTAACTTCTGACCTAAAATACAACAATATAATCAGTACCTGTCAATGTAATAAATCAGTTGTGACACCAACGCGACTTTGTACGTTGGAATTGTGTGTTTTGCCTCAAACAGTGCATTTAACAGACACAACAAATGGGTGCAGGTTCCCTACACACAGTGGACATTCATTGGTTTCACTAAAATCATACAAATTGGTTCGGAGAATTTGGGCAAGATTTGAGTAGATGCGAAAGCAAGTAACTGTTCGACAAAGTTGAAGAGCAATTCTTGTTACCCATGGTAAAGTGGAAGGTTTCCAATTCCATCGCATGATAACCGAAGGCGCTATTTTGCACTTGTCAGTGAATGTCTGCGTAACCAAACCGTCAACCCTCACACAACGGAATCAAGCAATGTTTGACAACTACAGTGTAACATTTACATGTTGGTCTTGATGTATCCGTTGTTTCACTTCTGATCCTTACTGACCCACGCTTTCAACTTGATCACTGAATGAGCTGTGATCATATTGGACGGAGTTTAGCGCGTACGCAGTGGATAGAATGCATACGTTGCCGGACCTTCCGGATCATCTACTTCAATTTGCGTGTTCCTTTTTTCTATCCGCCTGAACAATAAGGCTGATGTGAACGCTAATTGATTGCATGCAAGCAACCTCTACTTCTCATCACAATAAAACGCGATTTCACGGAAATCCAGTATTTGCTAGTTGAACGTGAGGAAAGCAGGCATACGTGCAAACATCCACAACCATGTTAATCAATTAAATTATCTCGTGCTATATGAGGTATGATAACTACGAAAGACAAACAATGCACGTTTGATTTCTGAGCCAGTAAGCTGCCATATATGCAGAGAAGTTGACACTCAGTGGAGCACCTTCTCAAGCCTCCTTTTTCATGTACAGCTTAAAAAATTATGCGTGATGTGTGCTGTCAATGATCAAATGTCTGTGTCAACTAGCAGATAAGTAAAGTATCTCCTGCAACTTACAGCTTCTGCACAATGCTATTTCTAACGAACAGTTTGGTTCAGGCGAAACTGCTGTCATCTGGCATAAGTAATTACCCAACCTTAACCTCAACAATGGGTTTCTCATTAACCGTCACCTGTTCAAGTGATTCCCTTGTGCACATGTGTACGAGCAAGGACAGTTGCTAAGTGGTGCCCTTAGAATCTCTACGACCAGATACCACCAAATAAAGTAGCTAGAATTTCCGCACTTTCGAGTAAAAAATAAAAAGCAGCCAAAGGAAATAGTCCTGATTTCAAACATCTTCGTTGGGGCCTAGAAGAAAGCGTCTAATATTACGAGGTATCACAAATGCTTATTAAAGATAGGTCAATCCGATTGGTCACTCGAGACTACACAATTCACCGTAGTCATCAGTTTGTCACCTACATCAAGTTAGCTCGTGTAAGTGCAATAAACGTGCTACACCGCCAGAGGTCCTAGAATGTCTCTAATTTTAAACAACGTTTTGCTTCGTTTTGTGTAACCTTCTAAACTAAACACGACATAAAGACTTAATTCGACATTTAAAATCTACACAGATTTCACTTATGTGCTGTTAATATTAGTGTCTATTTACAATAATCAAAAAAGTTGATATAATTGCATATTAGATGTCGGTATCATTATAAAGTAAAAAGGACATGTTAACAAATCGGCAATTACATTTATCCATATCCCGTGTCACACCGTTCCGAGAACAAATTTGCCCGACGAATGACAACCTAGACCGAGCTCATGATGGTGAAGGGTTTAAACAAAGCCTGAATGCATTGTTTGTGTGGCGAATTATTGACTAACCGTATTTTTTTTTAATTTATACACTAAATCAACTGCAGCTTGATCTTTACTTTTTCCTAATTGGTTTTTATTCTGTCAATCGACTAAAAATGAGATTTGCAAAAAAATCCATTTATCTTCCATGCTCCAATTGTAAGCCGAAATGCCTCTAAAACGTCTAAAATCTATCCTTTTTATGCAGCCTACGGGATCGCGACACAATGTCGGGAACGTCACTGGTGCTTTATCCGGTTTCAATTTGAAGTTTGGTTAATTGCATAATTGTATATTTTTCCGGTGACATGTGCATCCAATGTCAACTGCGTGTTCATGCTGATCGCTCGCAAATGCCTTCATTAATATTTTAACTCGTACATCATTCAAAACAGGAAATCAATTTCATAATGCCTTCTTATCACGACGCACTCTTCAACACATCGAGGAATTTACAGCTTTGAGCGGCAAAGAATCTGTGGAAAAACCTGTGGACCACTTAAATAGCTGAAACTGTGATAATAAATTCACTTGCTGCACCTCATTTTACATATGCTCCACCTCAGTAACCCAGTTCTAGACCCCACGTGCGGTAAGAATTTGTGAAAAACTAACCCACCGGCTTACAAGACCTCGGTACTTTAAGTCCCAAGAGCAATGCCTCAGTAGATCATAGTTCATTGCAGAAAATACAGAAAATCCGACAAATCCAGAGGTTCAAGCAACTGAAAAAAACATGTATGCGCAATAATAAATTATTACAACGATTTCGCGCACGGTGAACAGCCACTGAAGTTGACCAAGTTAAAAGAGGAGAGTCGAAGAAGGAGTGAATAGCGTGTGCAGAAGAAAGAAAGCTAAGGTTTCATCCTATAGCTCAGGCAACAAGGACGCAGACTCCGGACCTGCTGTCACAACGGATTTTGTGGGGGAACCAGTCCTGTTTGTTGGTTTCTTGTCTTTCCACTGCTTTTGTGATGTACTGATCTGAAGTGCAAAAGAAATATTGAAACCACCCTTTTAATCGCAAAGCCCATATGATTAACGCACAAAATACAAAGTGATTATCCTGGTGTTTCAATATCACCAAATCTACAATTTTTGAAAAAAAAATCAATCAGAGATTAATGTTCAGCAAGCCACGCGAGCAAATGCAAAAACTGCTCAATCGGAGCCTGTATTGATCGTGCCCAATATAATAGGTCGGCTAACCACGCGGTAATAGTTCAAATTCCAGGCAGTCACCATCAGCGTACATACAAAACATTTATTAAGGCTCATGAAATACACCACAATGCAAATTCGCTGGGCTATTGGAAAATCATTCATAATAATTGATGTGCTTTATTTGTTAGTGATTAAGTGCTCCATTTTGTGTCGAACACAACCCACATTTCAACGCATCTTTGCGTCTACATAGAGAATACATCAGTTACTGAACCAATATTGTCCAATAGCCCCAGCACACGAAAGTCAGCGACAAATGAATATCTACAACCGTTGAACAACATTCTCCTCACCAAATCAAACATTATGCTGCTTCTTCTGGCATTAATCAGGCCGTTCGTGTAACTGCTAAATACTAATAGTGATAAGAATGGTAATGGGAGTTGAGCTGTTACGTCAGTTCTCAAGTCCCACGGCCACACGAAATAACTCACCTTATCGCCCATGGTTACAGCCATGCCTTGAGTTTTAGCACGAATCCGAACATGACCGGAAACGGGAGCATCGTCTGTGGGTTTCTCCAAACAGAGATTGCCTAGAACATGCTCACCAAACACAGAACAGGCATAGAGAGTTGCGCAGAGGTAGTTACATTCACCGCGCAATGCCTCAGGAGGAGTTAGGCAACGAAAGTTTGTTATTTTCGTCACATTGTCCAAGTACGTATGAAGATCAGTTACCTGTGTGCTAACAGTCACCTATAAAAAAACACACAAAGGTTTCAAATTGTTGCTATTGATCCATTCAATCTTTGGAAATGATTGGCGAGATCAGATCTTGCACTGAGCGTCATCTACGACATCCATGGACGTTGCAGTGATCGTTACAACCACCAGGTTGTGTACGGCTACACAAAATCCCACCAACTCTAACACCAAACCATAACATTGAACAAGAGTGTCTACCTATTTATTACGCTCCTCTTGATCTCTGCCAGCTACGATGTCGTCGTCAACATATCAACTACCCAAGCCAGTTCCACTAGCACATTATAAGATGCTGCAATTGTTCTGCCGCGGCACGTAATCCGGAAGGCAGACGTACATGCTCAATTGAGTCGAAGTGTTCCTGGTGCCATTCAGGCCTGTCAGATGGTTATTCTACGACCTGATAATACGCTCGTATTAAATGTTGCCTACGAGCACTGGCCCGCCGCAAAGGTAAGACAATAAGTCGTGTTGACGTGGTATAATGTAGTGCTCAGATATGGTGAATTTGAACGCCAATTACCAACAGTTTTTCTAGAAACCGTATGGAAAGCCAATAACCAGCTACCTTTTAATTAATCGCCGGACTATCTTATATCACATCATTAGTTCAACCCCGTGCGTATACCTGGGCGAATCCGGTTGGAGAAAGTCGACGTACTCTACGTTAACTGTACCACCAATTGTCAAATTAGTGTGCACGACGTTATTAAATTCAAGTCTGCACATGGGAGGGGTCGACAAGGCCACCAATTCATGACAGCAAATTATGACGCGAGGTGCCCAGGTAATAACAAGACATTGCGACTGAATAAACCACCAGCCATTGTTTGCGCCGACGGTTTCTAATTGAACTAAAGGTCGTGCTGGTAGCAGTAGGGAATATTCCCTCGTCAGCGGACTCAGCGTAAGTCAACACAAAGGATACTTCACTGGGTATCCAATTAGGAGATTCAAAGTGTAACTGGTGATTTTCACGTGTGCAATACACAAGGATTGTCCAGTTTCTTCGAATAACGCTAGAATCAATCTGCTTGTTGCAATTTCTACAGTAGGCAGGCAAAGAGTCAGTACGTTATTGATCTACACCAGTCTAGCAAAACACCAGGTGATTATGACGCGATAGTGAACTGAATTGTTGTGGGGCAATAGGGAATGCCCCTACCATTTGCTATTGCTAATTAAGATTCAGGTAGAATTCCAATCTCCCTCGAAATCGGCATGTCTCCCTGAAATTACCTTATTTTCCCACTCAAAGACGGACCACATGCGCCGAAATTCGGCATTCGAACACGTCGCCGGCTGGATGTACTCGAGGATGTCGATGCGAATATCCGAAAGGACAATCCAATTGGATTCACCTGCTGAACCCCTGGCGTCATACACTATGTTGCCGAAGATGATGCCGTTCTCCGTGGAGGAAACCTGTAGTGGGGAAGCAAGTTACAATAGAAGCAGTAGTTAGAGGATGCTCCTGGGAACGATGGCTAGATGTTCGAATAACACACAATGAATCATCGTAGAACTTCAATTCAACCATAATTAACCACATTAACAACCCACTGTGCTGTTTAACAGGGAAATATGAGCTCTTTGTTTAGTCATGATTCTGTAGCCAATCATTCCATCCATGATTTCCGTGGCGATGTAAGGCACGGTGGAGGCGTCTTTTCATCAAACAAAACGGTTAACGGAAGCCAACTGGTGACGAAAATCCGTCGTATTTAAGAGGAGTCTAGGACATCGCCATTGGTATGATCAAGCGTTGTGTCCATTGCATTAACACACACACACACACACACACACACACACACGAGACAGTCGTATTCCAGTCAACTCGGAAAACACAGCACCTTCCAACCTGCCTAGTCTCTTGCATTTTACTTGCATTCCTAGAAGGCCGAACGTGGGGTTTCGGTGTTGACTTGATTGCAACTGACACACATAATTAGCTAGGGCACAGAGAGTGAAAAATGGAAAACGATGAGGGTAAAAGGAGGCTACGAGTCAACAAAGGTTTGGCAGTGGATGGTCTCATGGTAACACAAGGAAGAGGGTAAATATTTGCAAACAGTGAAGACTTAAAATGAAGGACAGCAAAGGTTGGTCCTGTCGTTCACGCACTTTGCTTATTTGGCAAAAAGCATCAATTCTGGACGACGATCTCTGTAGCTGTGGCTTTCCGAAGTTTCCCCCAAAATGGTCGATATAACCGCCGTGTTACAATTCACTCACAGTTGGTTAAGTAGTTCACGACTGCGTACATGGTTTCTACCCACTCGTGGTTGAGGGCCATGGTGTTGGTCTTGAAGTACCAGCGGTTCTTCTGATCAAACCAGTGTTGGGCATAAGTCCCAGACGACCACTGTGATTTCGTTTACTTAAATGGTATAACCGCAAAGCCTGGATTCAAAGCTAACATCGCTCTGAATAAATGCCGGTGGACATTACGCATGACCCAGCAATTGAAACGGCAATAAATTCTGGTTCGTGAGCCTGCCAGTGATAAGAAGCAGTGGCGATATGAATATTCATCCACGTCAATTAGCAGAGCTTACTTCGGAAAAGGGGGTTGGTCGGCAGAACAGCGTGTTTTTGTAACTATTCCTCACTGTTTAGCAGCTGTTTTGCACAAGTTATTTAGGTTGCATCCTGAACCTAGGCCACAAAACACTTCTCATCGTGTTGCAAAAGAAATTTGAAAACAAGTTTGAATTTGAAGAACTCGTGAATTTCTTTCACGTAACTCAGCAAACTGAAAATACTACCTCCGTTTTTGCATCAACTTCTTCATTTCAAAATAACGAGTTACTTGTGGCTGAATTTTGATATTTTGTTGCACACACCGCATCCTCTCAACTAGCAAGGATTTTTCTCAAAAGCTCCTTGAACAAACCTAAAAAACATTTTTACTGACGAAACTACTAAGGCAAATATTCACACACTTGCCGTGTATAGCAGCACATCCCTGTTTTCAACTTAATCCATGAAATATTGCTTTTTAATGCCTTTCATTACATGATTGCCATGTGGGTGATGAGCTGAAATCCGACACCTGTTAGACAAATTTCTCAAGAAATTGCTTGCTAAATCCCGGACACAGATGCATTTAGGAATCGCGTTTAAGTGTCTATTGATAGTTTCCAATTCTGGATTGTTCAGACATGTAATCAGCACATGATTGGCGTCAATATTACCATCTAGCAGGTAAGCATTACATCAATGTATCTCCAGAATAAATATATGTGACACAACCACCACTGATTTTTAGATATATTACCTCGCAGACCACAGTTAAGCAAGTAGCCTTGCGAGTTGCAAGTTGAATCTTTTGCGCTATCACAAATACCCTTGCATTGGGGATAGCAATTATCGGGCGAGTATGCATATGGCTGACATATCCCAGCTTATTTAGTTGTAAAAGAAGTGCAAATTTTACTTACGACGGAAATCCTTTAACAACATGCCAGAACGACTGTGCTACCGCGGATTGAGTATAGTGTCGATGACTTCGCTAGCCC